AAAAAAAAAAAAAGGATGTGGACATAGTTCCCAGAGTCAACACTGATGAGTCTAGAAAATCCCATTAAAATATCTGAAGAGATCTTTACTTTCCAATTTCACATTAAGCACTTTTTTTGTTCAAAGATACCAAGTGCCTTAACCTGAAGATATGATACAATAAACCTAATAAACTATATTTTGCTGCAAATCTACATTGAAATGAATGCCTGCTTGGGTCTCAAATGCCTTAATTTCCTATTAATAGATGTGCATATAAACCATGGAAAGGAAGAATCTTGTGAAATGAAAGGCTTGCTCACATACAGGTCAAGGGTATAGGTCATTGTGTCATTTCTGCATCCTGAACACTCCCAGTGGACTTTATTTAGATGTAGTAGGTGCACAATACCTACAGGTTGACAAAAAATTTTAATGAATTTCAACCTGTAAGGGATTTCAGTGATGCTCTGGCCTATTTGTGTCATTTTACAGAGGATAAAATTGAGGCCACAAAATTTTTACAGGCTGTCACTACATGTCTAATTTTTGTGTACAGCCAGGACTATAACCCAGGAGTCTTAAAAACCCAGTAGAGAAGTATTTCTTCTACAAAAATAAGAAGTAGTATTTATTGAGCACTTAGTATGTACTAGCCAGTTTGTATATGTGATGTCAAATCTTCTGGGGAAAAAAAAAAAAACAACAGAAAAAGACGTGCCCTCCCCATATTTTAGTTGAGAAAACAGAAACTCAAAGAATTTAAGTGCCTTGCTCAAAGCAAAGTGCTGGGAAGCAGGGGAGCTAACATTCAAACTCAAATCTGCTTCCAAACCCACTGCCTTCCATGTCATACCATGTTAATACCCATTAATAGCATAAAACACTGATCAGAGAAGGTATTATGTGGCTTGCTAGAGAAATCTAAAATCCTTCATCAGTTTACTTTGGAAAAAAAGGTAAAAAAACTTATGTCAAAATGTATAGCCAAATCACGTGTTCATAGGCAACTCTTTATAAAATCATATTTGTAATTAACTTAGAAGAGGAGTCTATTCCTGAAGAACGCCAGATCTGAAAGCTGAATGATGGCACATTACCTCGTGCTCAATGAATCATCAGGTACAGATTCCATGTCTCAGTAAAGATGAAGATGTGGGTGGATAAGAGAACAGCCAAATCACTACTTTAAGGTAAAGGGTGCAATGTGACAGGCACATGTTACATAGTCCTTGCTTTTCTACAAAGAGATAGAGCTTCCAGCTAAGACTATGTCTTCCTTCACCACCACCTGAAATCCACCCAAAACAGGATTATTTAAAATACAGATCCCCAAAGGTCTGAGTTTTTCTGTCCTACCTTAAAGTCTCTAAGACAAGCCCTTCTGTGGGGTTTTGAAGTCAGATCACCCTGGGTGCCAGCCTCTGCTTTGCCACTGAACCGTTATATCTTCTTGGCAAGTCATTTAGCCTTCTGGAGCCTCAGTTTCCTCATTAATGTAATGGGGATAATAATAACTACTCATAACATTTTTGTGAAAATTAAGTGAAACGATGAATGTACGACATCTACTCAAAAACCTGACTCACTGGGACTCAGTTTACTCACTAAGGGTGGATGGTAAATGTCAAGTCCCAGAATAACAAAAGGCAAAGAATTACATGAAAACCAACCAGATCGTCATTCACTACAATAAATGCAGTATTAAAGATGTCATAACAGCAAAATATGTCAAGTAAAAGCCTCTGTTAACAATTTGTAACACTATTTCTAGTGAGAAAGGGACAAGACAGTGAACTGAAATATTCAAATTGACTCCAGCATAAAAATATGAAAAAGAGATATTAACACTTGACACCTGTCTATTACCTAACAGGGATATTGTAAGGATTAACACTTTTCAAAGTGTAGCACTTTGAAATTCCTTGGAAATAAGGAATAAACGCATCCCCATCATACATAGGTATAGACAAATATATATTTTAACAAACTAAGAATTACTCTATAAATTTAGATCAGGGCACAGCATGCCTTGGATGAGTAGGGTAGGAACAATATGTTCTTGCTTACGATACCAAGCTCATGACAAATGATTCATACCCAGCGCTTTTCATGCCAAAAGATCCCCCCAGGTGTTCCACCAACTCCATCAACACTTTCCATCAAGCTAGACTGCAGTACAGAGGAATCACATCACACCCACGGACAAGGCAAAACAGTCATATCCTTACACAACTGCACAAGTCCAACAGCGGAGGGGGCAGGAAGGAGAAGGGAAGGAGGTGAGAGAAGGATCCAGAGTTCTTCACAAGTTTGATAGGCAGCCTATTATTACCATACATTTACACCTTTAATGCAGGTGTTATTGTCATCAGAAGCCCTACTTAGCAAAGGCTTTTAGCTAAAGGTGAGATAGGTCCAGAGGAGGTGTACTGCCAGTGGCCCTTAATGGGCTGGGGGTGGATTTATGGGGGACAGCAGCTAAATGAGAAGAAAATGAGAGCTCCCACCCACTGCTGTCCTCAGTGTTAGGACAGTGGATTTCTTGCTCTGGGGGGAATGTGAAGTGCAATGAGATGAGAGTTACAAAGAGGTATACAGTACTTTCCAGTCACAACACTCTCTTAACTATATCCTGGCCTGTAATTCTCAGTAATGAATCTGACAGGCATCCTCCCCTCCTGTTTTAGAGATGAAGAAATTCACACCCAGGCAATCAGCTTGCCAAGATCAAACCACAAATAGGCAGAACCAGAACTCAGGTCTCCGCTCTGCTTTTCACATCACAAAGTTGTCTAGAAAAGTTTCTTTCTGCCTCCCTTACCTTCAAAATATATTTTAAACTTTATCTCTTCTAGGAATCTGGGACTACTTTGTGGAGGATACCGATACAAGACTATTTCTCTTCCTCTACTACTTATATACACTGAAGAAAAACAACAACAATTTGTATGTAAGTGGGCGCGGATGGAGGGTATGTCCTTATAGAATGAGAGACTTAATAGGATAGAAATCTCATTCGTTTACACGATTTGAGTGCTCCAACTTTTAACACCTTGATTATTTCCTACATTATCTCAGACTTCCTTACATGTCACCCCTTCAAGCCCTGACCCTAAGAAGCCTAACTGGGTTTATAAGCACCATTTAAAAAAAAAAAAAAAGGCTGGCAGTGCTTGGCACCATTTCTTAAATGAAGTTTAAAACTTGCCAAAGATGTACTCTCCCTTTCTTGCTCTTTCCAAGATCTTTCAATAGGTGAACTAGAGGTCTAATGGGTGAGTGATATTTTACGGCTTGAATTACATTAAAAGCCAGAAATATTTTGAGTCCAAAGTCCTTTACTTCTTGATACAAGATTTAATATGTTTGATGTGTTTAAAATTGCCCCTTAAAGCTAGAAGCTTTGAGTTAATCATCTAAAGCAGTGCGAAAGTTATCTGATCAGTTTAAGAAGATTCAGGTTCAAATTGGGGGATTAATTTCAGTGGTTATGATATGAAAGATAGGACAGTTAAGGTAAGGAATGAGGGCAAGGGTCTCCAGAACTTGAATGAAAAGAATTTCAGCTTCAATTATTTGATTAAACCAGTCCGGAGAACCATATAAAACCATAGCCTTGGTCATGAAGGCTGAATTGTAGGGAAAACCGTGCTGAGGCTCTCAGGACAGAGACACGATACAAAATACTACTTATCACAATTTGCCTTAATACAATTTATATCTATGTACTCAAGGAATCCATAATGACAGCCTCTTATTTTAAAATGTTCACAACTTTCATTAAAAAAGCTGACAGTGAGCACAATTCACTAAAGTGGCACTTCCCTGGGAAGGTTTCTGGCAATAACATCACAATTGAAAACATTTTGAAATGTACCAGGATGCACAGACTCTGCATAGTACAAATACTACAATCTCAGTAACCTGATAGAAGCTGAAACTTTGATTTTTTTTTCAGTTTACCCATCCTTGGTTTTCATTTTCTTGTCTGCTTCAGTGCAGCCTGGTGAAGTTTCCATACTTCTAAATCACCTGCAGTTATCACCACCAAAGCTCTTTCTTTACTATTTCAGCTCTTTGAAGTTTCCAGGTGCAGTTTAAACTGGAATAGCTCCCTCAAATTCCAGACATGCAGGCTTTTCCAAACATCTAAAACCTTCCCTGATCTTGGACACAGCTCATGGACTTGCACCCACGCTCCCCAGTGACAGCCTCCTGGAAATCCAGCAATCCCTCTCCCCCCTTAATAAAGGGAGAGCTACGTCTTTATCTGTACTCTTCACTAGAGGAGGTCAGGCAATGGGGGAGAACACGGAGTTGTTTTCACAGGGACATATCTGATCTTCCTGGGACAGATCAAGCCAGAGAACAACCACTCATTCACAGGCTGGAAAGCCCCAGCTCTCAAAACACACTGGCTGGTGCTGTTAGAAGATGCTGGAGAGTTCCCGTCCTGAAACTTGCATCCACTTGGTCCCCAGAAACAGAATACATTAAGGGCTCCTTACCATCCACTGAATTTCTCTTCCGTGCCGGGAAGAGGGGGTTAGGAGCTTCGTATAAAAATAAAATTAAAAGGCTACGAATAAAGACTTTTTGATCTTACGTGCTCTCATCCATAAGTCTAGCAAGTTAAAGAGAAAGTCACTTGAGGGAACACCAGACTGCCTGGAATTTTAACCCTTTCACCTCTGCATTCAGAATACTTTAACCCGCTCTGTTTGCCTGGTCTTCGGATCCATCCTACACAAAGGAGACCAAAGAAACGGGAAAGAGGGATCTGCCTGCCCTGTATAAAGCTTTGTTAGAGGTTTGGAGAGGACTCCGGTGTTGGTGGGAAAGGGGTGGTCTCCTAGTTGGTGACATTAAATCCTTGGGGAGGCGGGCAGGGAAGACTTTAGTTTGCACAATGTTTCAAGTCCAGAAACCCCATTTCCCCAAATTCTCAATCAAATCACACAGCCGACTTTAACCCTTTCCATTTTCCACCCCTTTGCCCTCAGTCCCATTATACTCACGCTGCTGTTGTGGCCAGACCAGTGGACCATGGCTTGGTTGTGTGCTGAGTCTCCTGTCAGCGCGAACGTAGTGCTGGTCAGTTTCAGCTCCTCCAGCCGGAAGCGAGTGGCTTTGTCCGGGTCCCGCTCCAGAGTCCCAGGCTCCTGCTGCCCTCTGTCCCTTAGCACTCCCCGGGGGCGTCTTCTCGTGCCCTCTCCCCGTTCTGCCTTCTCTTGATCCTCTCCACTCCGTCTCCTCCGGTCAGAGCGTGGAGCAATCGCCACCGACGCCCCAGTGCCCGGGGCCCGCTCCAGGGACAGCGCTCGGTCTCCGGCGGCCACTGCAAACAGGGGGCGTCCGAGCAGGGGCGTGGCAGGAGCCCTGCCTCGCGACCGCAGGTGAGTAAGCCCCCCTCGGGTCGGAGCCCAGCGTGGGGCCGAGCTGGGGTGCAGCGGGGGACCGCAGGAGCCGCCGCCGCAGGCGCCCGGGGCGCAGAGGACTAAGAGCCCCGCGCCGGCGAGGAGCGCGCTCAGCCCGGCTGGGGAGCCGCCGCCGGCGCCAACTTTTCCCATTGCGGGAGCGGAGAGGAGCTGAGAGGGGGTCCCGGACCGGAGGTGGCGGCGCGGGGCTCTCCGCTGGCCGGCTACGAGGAGCAGGAGCTCAGGACCCCAACTCCATCCAAGTTGGGCCGCGGTGGGGGCGGGCAGAGGCGGTTCGGGGCAGGTGGCGGCCGCTTGCCCGGGCTGGGCTGGTGCCGAGCGCGGGTTCGGACGGAGCGAGCCGCCGCCACGCGGGGGTGGAGCCGAAGTGAAGTCACGGGCGGAGCGGGCGCTGGCGCGCGGGCAGGCAACACGGAAGAGAGGGCGGGCGCTGCCGGGGCTTCGAGCGCTGCGTCCCGCTCCCGAGCTGCGCTGCGCGCGGTTGGCTGCGGGGACTGGAGGCGCCGCCGACCCTCCCCCTGGGCTCGCCTGCGCCGCCGCCGCCCGCTCCTCGCCGCCGCGCTGTGCGCCCCCGCGGCCGCCGGCCTCCGCGCAGAGCCCGAGTGCCCCTCCCGTGGGGGCGGCCAGCCCGGACCTGGCGGAGTGGTTACTGTGCTGGGGACTTCCTATTCCTGTTTGTTTCTATCAGTCTCTGTAGCTGTTTCTTTTTTCTTTTCTTTTTCTTCCTCCCTGGTCATTTTCAGTTTAGAAAATAGGGATGAATGGGCTTCTGCTCTTTCCATTCTTAGTCTCAGTGAGTTGGCACCTTGACCTTACCTTGGGAAGAGTCTGTGTGTCCCAACATCAGCAGAGAATGATGTAATTAAAAGATCGCAGGTGTGTGTGTGTGTGTGTGTGTGTGTGTGTGTGTGTGTGTGTGTGTTCTGGGGGATTTTCCCATCAATTATGACGCTTAGATTTCTTCCTTGACCTCCTAAATAAAGCACTCACTGTATTTGAACCCAATCTTACTGCATTTTGTGGGCGTGTCTTGGCTTCCCTAAGGGACTGCACACTCATTGAGGACGGGAAGGCTACGTTGTGAGCAACTTGGAAGAAGTAACCAGTTCATTCTGTTTGCCATTTTATCCTTAGTACTTGGACACAGTGCCCTACATGGTAGGAAATCTGTCAGTCATTAATTCATAAATATTTATTGTAAGCCTATTATTATATTTCTGTGTGCAAATACATACAGGAAAGGAGGCATGGTGCTCCATCTATCCTGTGGCATTCGTGCCTAGCCCAGAGCTACTAACACATGCCTTAAGACTCAATAGGAAACTTCATGTGGGTGCTGGACGCTCTGCATTAGTTTGCTGTGGAATCTATGACAAGTAGCAATCTATCAGCTTCCTAGGTTTAAAACTAAGTTGTTGCATTAGATGACCTTTAAAATCCCTTTCACTCCTAAAATTCTATAATTGTATGATTATAATGTCTGCCCAGCCTAGCTCCCCTGCTACTATTCAAAAGTTCAGATTAAGATTTATAGTAGGTGAATGGGCTTTGAAAAGTACAAAGCATTTCTCAAAATCCAAGCCTTTTTCAAATAGAAAGTTGCTTCTAAGGGCTGAAATACCTTCACATGTCTTTGTAGTCTTCATGAGCCAGATAACACTTTCTTATCACATGGTAGCTGTTAAATTATTCTGTGAATTTTTATTGATCGAATAAATGAATCCCACCACAGAATAGTACAATTCCCAGTTTCTAATTACACGTTTGTTCATTCTCACACTTGCAAAGGTAACCTCACTGAAAAATCTGAATCCTGAGTTTGTGATGGGACCAACTTGCAAGTAACAGCGTGATCATTATTCTTTAATGAATAATACTCTTTTTACTGCTGTACAAGAGGAGTTTCTCTTATTCCAAGCCAGAGGTGTGTTACAAAAAAATTTAAAATGATTGTTCTCATGATCGATCCAAGAAATGTGCCAATGCAAAGAGCACAGGCTTCTCAGCCATAAAACTTGGATACTTAAAAGGACAAAAGAGTGTCCTGTTCGTCATTAAAGGAGACACAGACTGTTCTTCCAAAAGTACCATTACTACCCAAGGCTGAATCCTCCTAAAAAAGGACCACTGGCAGGTTGTGGCTTCTAGATGGAGGAGAGGTGAGCCAGAGGTTATCACCTCCTTCCTCCCAAATTGCAAGTGCTCTTTGTCAAAGCCCAGGAGAGCTGTTTTCCTCTCCTCAGAAAAGTTTTCAAAGCTTTGCAGGATCCTTTGCTTAATGCCTTCTTTCTATGCCCTGCTAACCTCCTTTCCACTCTGTAAGATTTCCTCCAAGAGAGGAAAACCAGATTAGATTAAAGACTCAGAACCCAAATGAACTCCCATCCAAATATAGGACTGGAAAAAGCAAAATGGAAAAGAAATTAGTAAATTCACATTTTCTGGTCTTAGTCTATCATTACCCTACCAAAATTTAGATTGCTTTGGTTTCAAAAGGAAGTTCTTCCTGAAGATTTGGGAAAGTAGAGCTGACATTTCCTCCTCAAGGAGTTTAGGGAAAGCATTTTCAGTCCATTTGCTGAGAATTCGTAGAGGCAGGCACTTTTTTAATGCCTGATTTTAATTATCCATTTGTGAAAAAGTTTACACAGATGTAGAAGAAATTGACTCCAACTATTTTTTTAAAATAAATTCATTTTATTTCTTATGGCTCTGGTCCCCATGAACTTTTGTCAACAAGCAGAAAGTACCAGTAATTCCCTAAACCATCATCTTTTTCCAGAGGACTTCAAGAAATAGGCTAATCATGGGGGAAAGTGGGCTAGTCTATTTCATGGTCTTTGCAACCCAACGATCCAATAAGCAACCCAATGGGTTTTATTAATATGATCCATTAGGAACGGGTCATTTGTTAGCAAAATAGTTGACATAAAAGGCCACTAGAGAGCATAGATCTATAATTCCAATTAGGAGTCTTTTTCATTATGCACATGAAAAATATGCCACCACCTAATGTAAGTCACCATCATTTCTTACCTGGACTAGCTCAACAGTCTCCATACTACTCTCCCTACTCCAAGATTGCTTTGCTCCATCCTTTCTCTACAATAGTCATCTCCAAAGTGGGGTACAAGTGCCAAAATGGTATCACAAGGTGATACATTTGTGTGCAGGAAATAGACTAGCTAATATTCAATTACTGATTAACATATATATGCTATTTATATATCTATATCTATCTATCTATACATATCTATGTATCTATCGAGGGAGAGAGAGAGAGAATATGAACATATAAACATTTTGGAGTCACATGCTGATGGGTGTACATGATCAAAACGGTTTAGATGCCTTGCCCTACAAAGCAGCAAAAGTGGTCTTTCAAAAGTATAAAAAATACCATTTCTTGCCACTGTTTAAAACTTAAGTAACTTACCTTTGCAAACAGAATACCTAGGGCTTCCCTGGTGGCGCAGTGGTTGACAGTCCGCCTGCCGATGCAGGGGACACGGGTTCGTGCCCCGGTCCAGGAAGATCCCACATGCTGCGGAGCGGCTGGGCCCGTGAGCCATGGCCGCTGAGCCTGCGCGACCGGAGTCTGTGCTCCGCAACGGGAGAGGCCACAACAGTGAGAGGCCCGCGTACCGCAAAAACAAAAACAAAAACAAAACAGAATACCTACACTCCTTACCACGACCCACCAGGCCTGCGTGCGCTGGGTCCTGTCCATTCCTCAGTCACATTTGGCAGCACTCACCCTCCTCACCCATATGCTTCAGTCACTCTGGACGATCCCTTCCTCCCATGTGCCAAGTTTTGTCCAACTCGTGACCTTTGCATATGCTGTGCCACCTACGTGGAACGCCCACCATCATCCCCATTCACATGGTGGACTCCTTTCCTTTGAAACCTTCACTTTAAATGTACTTCCTTAGACAGACTTTCCCTGACTCCCTAACTAAGAAGAAATATCTTCCACATTTTTTGCATCAGTCCTTTCTTAGTTCCTTCTTAGCATGTTACAGGCTTCAATTATTTTATTTGAATTTTTTTAATACCCACCCCCAAGCAACATGTGGATAAGGACCATGTCTCCCCTGTTCATCTTTCCTTTCCCCAGCATCTCCTTCAGTGCCTGGCTCATGGAAGTGCTCAGTAAGTAACTGGCTAGCAGAGCAACACTAGTGTACCAGCCCTAGCTGCACAGCTGCTAGAAGTTAACATTCTGTAGGTCAGATGTGTCCGTGTGCTGGAAACCAGCTAAGGATTATACATGTGAGGGATCATTTGGTTTTTTACAAAATTTATCTCAGCTGAGTACTATCATTGTCCCCATTTTAAAGATTACGTTAAACAGCTATGCAGAGTCACATGGCAATTTTGTGCAAGAGGCAAGGCTTGAACCCAGGCATCTTATTCCTAATATGTTCTTGACTTTTTGCAATACTGTTGCTACTCCAAATCCAAATAATTGCAGGTAACTTTATTGACAATTTGCTATGTGCCAGGCACTCTAATTAGCTCTTTGAATCATTTTTTAGTAATGTGGAACAATTACTTTTGGAAACAAGTGAGCGAGTTTATTTAGGCTGAAGGGAAGATGTGTATTCTCCAATTTATATTGGCTTTTATTCATTTAAGCATTGGGAGTAATGTTATATGTGGTTATAGCCACATACACCTTATATGAATATAGTGGTGTGTTCACTACTAACAGAACCTTACTGCACCGACTGCATTAACTGTCACATTGGTTTTTCTTCTTCCCCTTTTCCTAGGTCTCTGTGTCTGATGGATATCTTGGCTTCAGCTGCGCTAAATCACATTTTATGCCTCATCATTAGAACAATGTCTTTTAATAGCTCTCAAAATACTTGGCTCCCCTTGGATACCATTGACACAAGGTGTCTTGCATTTCAGATCAATTTCACGAAGAACCACAGAAAGAAAACTGGGGAGAATAATATGCAGACTCTCCTCATTGCTTGCCAAGGGGATGATGGGATGTTTTAAACTGCCCTTTAAAATATATTCAGGTATCAACAAATACTGGCCTAGCTCTGAATTCAGTAATGGTATCTCTTCGCATACACCCAGTCTAAGTGGCCTGAACAGGAGAACTTAAGCCCTCTTATCTGTAAAAATGGGTCTGAGATTATCTACTTGACTCATAAGGTGTTGTAAAATTTAATTCAACTTCATACACCTCTTAGAGATAACAATACTGCCTTGTATTTATATAACTCTTATCTCATCAGACCTCTAAACAGTTTTTGGGTTTTTTTTCTCCTAGTTTAATAAATCTTGCAGCAGCTCCAAAAGTTAGGTAGGGGGCAGGTTTTGCCTGCATCTCACAGAATATAAAGAAATTTATCCAAGGTCACAGAGTTAGAGAAAAAATTTAGAACTAAATTTTGTTATCCTTTTTCTCTCCCTTTAGTCCAAATCCTCCCCCAGTTTGTATATACATGAATTAAAATTCCATACTGTTTTTGTTTAGCGATTATGTGCATTTCTTACACAATCATTTCAGGTTTCAAAAGATAGCTTGTATAGTTAAACAGGAAGAGAGAAGCATGAAATAATATCACTGTCATTGTATAAACTCATATGCATATATATTTTTCCCATTTAAATAGTCAAACTTAATGTGAAATAGAGAAAATGTGCACTATGACTAAGTAAGTTTATTTAGAGAGGTATTATTAGACTTTTAAAAGTATACCTTTGGGGCTTCCCTGGTGGTGCAGTGGTTAAGAATCCACCTGCCAATGCAGGGGACACGGGTTTGAGCCCTGGTCCGGGAAGATCCCACATGCCGCGGAGCAACTAAGCCCATGCGCCACAACTACTGAGCCCACACACCACAGCTACTGAAGCCCACACGCCTAGAGTCTGTGCTCTGCAACAGGAGAAGCCATCACAATGAGAAGCCCATGCACCACAACAAAGAGTAGCCCCCGCTTGCTGCAACTAGAGAAAGCCCATGCGCAGCAACGAAGACCCAACACAGCCA